ATCTTGTCAATGACATTGTATGAAACACCACAGCAAGCAATGTCGGGTTCTATTTCTTTGATGTTTATATCGTCTGCCTCTGTCAAAAGTTTCAATAGTTCTTTTTCAAAATTTCATGAGGTTGCGATGACATATGAGTTCACTTTTACAGGGTTGTGCTCAACCAAGTTTAACATTATACCCAAAGCTTGACAAATCTTCTTCCTGAGTTTTAAGTTTGTCTTTAAGTTGTTGGTAGTCGTTTCGAATATCTGCAACAGAACTTAAGTCTCTGCTAACTTCAGGATATGTTGGTTGTTCTTTTACAGGAACTATTGTTATACCATCTTCGTCTTCGTATGGTTTCCCCACTTCAACATCTCTTTCTTTGACATTGACAACAACACTTTGACTGTTTGTTTGAGTTGTGAATTTAACTTCACATCTGCCACCGCCATTAAACCTTTTGAAACACTTACGCTTCTATTTTTCGGAAATGACATTTTACTTAGAATAAAAAGATGGACGTATTTGAGTATCTCTTCGAATTGAAGCAAAACAAAGTTTACACACACAAACAATACAAAGTTCATTGATAGAATAGTTCTTTATACAAACAATGGAAAATGTTATAGAATAGCAGTCTTTGCTGAACCAAAATATTTTCATAAAGCAAAGAAAGTTGGTATAACCGAGATGGTGAAAGTTCTTGAAGCAGACAAAAATATAACAACAAAACTGACCGATATTTCTAAAGGTAAGTTTATAATACAATATTATGTCAAAACTGGCGTACTGTCAATATTTGACGGAGAGAAGTCAGTTCAAGAACAACTTACTGACCTGCTGCCAAAATCTGCTCGATGGAAGCTGTCGTTATACCAATCTGAGGAGCCCCAGCAGGTTTCATCGAACGAATCTTCAAAAGAGCATCTTCCGTGAAAAGTGCTATTGGTTTTGTAAACTTCTTTGCTTTCAATTCATCTGGACCGTCTCTGTCACCAGTATATTGTATTTGAACTGTACCAACAGTTGAAATACCACCCATAAAGTCTTCTGAGTCAGCAAATGGAATGCCAAGCCAAAAGTTTGAACGGTCTCCATTTGTATATTGAGTGTTGAGCTCCTGTATGAGTCCATACTTTCACATATGGCATAATAGAACTTTGCATTTCAGGGTTAATGGTTGTTGTGAAGTTGTTGTTAAAGTTCATAGCATCTAATGTCAAGTTGTATGACCTCATATCCTCAACTGTAGAATATTCTTCTCTTGGATAGTATTTGCCATCTATGTTTATATGATATTTAATACCGGGTTGTAGAAACAAGAATAGTCATTTATAGTTCGTCTGAACAGTACAAACATAGTATCTGCATGTTTCATTGCAGTTGTTAAAGCAATATCTGTTCTTGCACCTGGGTCAGCACTTTGGTTTCCAACTTCACCTGCAAAGTCTTTGACAGATATTTGGTGTATAGGGAACATAAGTGGAACTGCAATATATTTGGCAGCTAAAGCATTTGAAATATCTGGGTCCAACATATAGACTGCAAGTCTGCTTTCTATTCTCTTGCATTCAAATTTTCGCATGTGAACTTAACTGGGTCCCAAGCAGTTCCAGCAGCATTGAAATAATAGTTTACTTCAGTGTTGAGGTTTGAGAAACCAAAGTCTAAGTCAACTTTGTCTTTGCAAAAGTCGAATGACATTTTATTTGTTCCACTACTTCTGTAAGAGTGAATGGGTCTTGTGTTGGTGCAATGACTAAGTTATTTTTGCTTGGAGTAAGTTCAATAGAAATTTTTCCTGCCCAGTTTGGCAAGTATCTTAAAAACCTGAAGATGAGGAAAGATGACAAAGGAACTCTAAGTTTCATTTTACTTTGGTTACTGCTGCTGCAGTTTGTCCAGAAAGGTAACATAAACTCCTGGAACGTTAGGGTCAAGTCTTCTTATTTTCTCAATAGTTGCATACTGGTCTGTTTGTTCTCTAGCTTGTGGTTGTACTGAGTTTCTCAAAGCGAACCATTCATAGTTTGCCCATGTTACTGTTTGAACTAAGTCAGAGTTAGAATATATCTTATATCCCATGAAAACTTCTGGAGCATATTGGTATCCGACATAGAAAATTCCATTGCAAACCTTTCTTGTCAGACAACTTGGCAGAAGGTTTTATTTCAATGTCTTGTTCCACGTATAAGAAAGAGTTGTCCAATAGAAATTATATGAAACCTGTCGCAAGCAATATCTACTGTTGTTGAAGAACCTTCTCCAAACTCACCTACGTTTCCATAAGAAACAGCAGTTGTATATTCGTAAGTTCCAGGAACTATTTCTGACCTTCTAATGGCATTGTCGCATTCGTTATACCATTTCGGAAACATTTCCATTCATGGCATCCAAAACTGTTGGCGTTATATTCTGAGCGGCGTACATTTCATATGTGGTAAAAATATAGAATAGTTGGATTTATTGTCATAAATAGAACCCACGTGGACCAAGCTTTACTTCTTCCTGACTGAGTTTTTAACTCTTCTTTTTCCTTCATTGCCACTACTTTCACTAGATGAAGTTACTTCTTCACTACTTTCACTTTGTTCTACTCTTCTCTTCTTCTTTGGTGTCGCTTTTGGTAACTTGCCCTCTGCTTCAAGTTGTTGCATCTTTGTCTCATGTTCACCTAGTATGTTGTAAATTTCCCATGTCCTTTTGCCTTTGGGCTCTGGTCGCCCATCTCAGGTAACCTATATCCTTAGAAAGAGTTTGTCATAGTTTGTATTTGAGTCTTTGCGTATTGTTTGCATGACTCTTTCCTGAGTTTCCGAGTTCAAGCTCTTCAAAACAGTGCCTGTCCATATGGAATAAGCTCGTTTCCAAATATATGTTTTTTGTAGCCATTCTGGTTTTCTTTCCATGTTACCAACTATATCTTTTGTGAATGGGAAAGCTTTTACCAATCTTTCAGTCTTGCGTCATTTATTTCTGTAGTTGGTTTTATTTTGTCAAGGAACATGTTTTTCAATACTAACATTTCATTTGGTACTGTCCATTTGAGTTTTCTTAAATATTCATCCCTTCTCGGTCATTGTCTGCAAAGTAAGTTTTTATGACATTTTGTAAACTTTCATTTGCAAGGTCATGTACAATAGGTTCTCTTCCTTCTCCCTCCCTAACTTTCTTTCTAAACTCTTCACCAAATATACCATCTCTATGGTTCTGTGTAGTTCTTTGAGATAAATGTTCTAGAACGTCAGGTGTTATATTTCCATCAGCCATGTTCATTTCATACTGGTTCAAAATATCTGCATGTTTCATATCTTTCAATGGCATTAAAGCCGCGCTTAAAATACCAGCTATATCTCGTTCACCATTCAATTCCATTGCGTCTACAACTTCTTGGAATTGAGGTTGTAAGTTTATGAACCACCTATCCGGATTAGCTTTATGACCCCATCTCATTGTAGTTCCATCGTCTGCAGAAACAAAAGTAGGTTTGTTTCCATCTTGGTTAGGTTCTGAATGAACTTTAAACAATGTTTCATTTCTATATGTTTTCTTGAAATTTAACCTTTTATTTTCACCGAGTTCATCCGAAGATTGAACGTTAAATGCTCGTAAGTAAAAAGGGTTGTTGTATTTGTGTACATTTTCTTTCAGTACTTCCATTCTATGCTGAATATTTTCATCTGGTGTTGGAGTCTTTTGTATGTCGGCAAACATTTTTCGATATTCTTCTACTATGTCAGCCGAATTTTTTTTAGACTCTTGGAAATATTCCATATTCTCCGCATACTCTTGTTGAGGGTCAAGATTTTTCGGCTGTTCCAAATCTTCATCTAGTTCTGTGAAGTTAGTTTCCAAAGGAGTGACTTGTTCGTTTCCTTCAGGCTCTTCTAGCTGTTGTTGCTGAACTATTTCTTCCATGTCTGGTTGTATCTGAACTAGTTCTTCCTGTGGAGTTTCTTGTACCTCATCTGCTGGCATTTCATATATTCCGAGACCGTTTTCAACAATTTCCCTATCTACGTCATCCGCATTCATAAGCTTTTGTTCTTTCGTTCCGTCTCTATTTTTTACGCGTTTCATGACGAAAGTTGAATTGTCATTTAGCTCTGACATCAAATATCTCGGAGTAAATTCATCCATGTCATTTGGATGATATGCTATTAAATCATATCCCTTAGCGAGCTTGTATTTTCCAGGTTTGAGATTATATCCGTTTTGGTGCTGAGCCATAAAGCTAAATAGGTTCGGGTCAGTATTTCCATCCTTGAACTTTCCAATAGCTTCTTTATATCTGTCACTAAAGTCAACAGTATCTGGGAAACCACACTCTTCTTTAAGCATTTTTAAGAATTCTTGGTTTCCTTGTTCTCTACTTCTTTTATGTCCTTGCTCTGTTTGTGGTTGTTGTTGTGCAGGGTTTTGAACTGTTGGTTGCTGTGCTGGTTGTTTGTTGGTTTTGTGCTGGTTGTGGAGGTGGTTGTTGTGCATGCCTGTGTCTGTGTCCATGTGACGATGTAAATGTTCTAGGTAGTCCTGGTGCAGGTGCTTCTCTTGGAGGGTTTGGTGGTATATAAGTTCCACCAGCTGGCACATATGTTCCATCTGCAGCGTAATGTCCTACCTGACTTTTTCGTTTTTAAGAAAGCATTTACTAGGTCTGTTTTGGTCTGTTGTAACTCTTTTTCTTGACTTTTCACAACAGTTGCTCTAACGGCGTCATAGGCACTTTGAACTGCCTGTCTCGTTGCTGCATCTGTTATTTTCGTCATATTTTGTGCTACTTCTTTTAACTCTTTGTCGAAACCTTCAGACTTCAGTTTCTTTCCAGATGAGAAGTCGTTCACTTGTTTCACCTTACTATGAAGAGCTTCGAAAGCGTTCTTAAAGTCAGCATTTGTTAAAGCTTCATTTGAACTATCTTCATCCGCTTGTATTTTTGTCCTTATTGACCCTATGAGTTGGGCTGCTTTAGCGTTGGCTTGGGCATCTAACCAGTCATTGTTAGCTTTTATATATTCTGCGCTTTTCATTGCCTTTTGCATAGCCGCGTCGTTATTTTTACTTTCTTGTGCTAAGTTTTCATACTGTACGGTTTGGTTTTGCAACTGTAAAAGTTTTTCTGCCTTTACATTTGCTTCAACTTCTTTTTTATACTCATCGCTATCCATATATGTCTTCAGGGCTTTTTGTTTTATCTCTTCATCTTTCAGTACTTTATATCGAGTAGTATGGTTTTTCAAATTTATGACATCTTGTTCCATTTTTGCTACTTCTGCTGCTTTTTCTGACACTTTTTTCGCATATTCCTCTGTACTTAGTTCTTTCAGTTGTTCTTCTTTCTTCTTTTTCTCTACGTTTAACTCATTGAGTTTCTTTGTGTGTCTGTCATATTCTAGTTTCTTTTCGTTTTCACTTATTTGCTTCTGTATGTCTATGTTTGACTTTTTGACATCTGTTATTTGATTTTTGAGTGAACTCAAATTCATTTGACTTTGAGGGTTATAGGCTGTTCCGTCTGCAGCTCCACCATAGCCTGCCATTTTCGCTAAAAGTGCCGCTCTTAAACCTCCACTCTGTGCACCAATGACTCGGTTTAAAAGCATAGGATTGCTTGACATTTGTTGCAACATAGTGGGGTCATTCAGCATTTGTTGTTGCAACTGTTGTTGTGGTGTCAGTCTTACTATTGGATGTTTCAATGCTCTCTTCCTCTTACGTATATTCTTACGTAGCTTACGTGGCATTTTAAGTGAAGTTAAAAAGCGGTTTTTGACAGATGTTTATATGACACTTTTTGTTCAGCACAAAAAACTACTCGGTCAAAGTGTTGTCAGTTTTGTAAAATAACCGTCCTATCTCATTCTATAAGGGGAAAAGGCTTCTCAAAGTACTTCCTTGGAACGCCTGTAACTTTTCCTGTAGCGACGATAGACCCTTACTTGTCCGGACAAAGCTGTACTATTTTGAGTGCTCTACAAAAAAGTCAACAGCAACGACTCTCAAAACCGTTGTGTAAAAAGTTTTACCGTTGGACAAAAAAGTATATATAGAAAACAAAAAACGTTTATAGTTCATTCAATATTTGAGATGGAACGGTTTGCCAACGGTAACTATTAAATAAAATAAAAAATAGAGGGGGTCTCCGTTGACGAAAACGGTTTATTTTAAACTTTTCTATGAGTAGTCCGAAAAAAACAGTTTATTTTTGTCTAATGGAAGCCAACATTAACAATTCTCAACCGCTAACCAAAGCCAAAGCCCCACAACCTCCAAGAACTGGCACAGCTGTTAGAATAACCACCAAAAAGTCTAACAGCGAATTAAGAGAAATTCTTCAACAAATTTGCTCTAAATATCTCAAAGACGCCGAAGAAAACACACAACCAGACGCTACATACAATACTCAGTTCTGTGAAGTTCTGAACAAAGCAATTGCTAGTTCAATTGAACTTACTAAGACAATTCCAAATCCAATTGAGCTTAGCGATGTCTTAGTTCAGTATTTTCCAACATTTACTAAGCTTATAATGTTGAGAACTTTATACCAAGTTCGTCAAAATCTTCCTCGTTACATGCAACGGTCATTCGACAAGAGAATTGCCGAATTCCAAGTCTTTAGTTACGGATATGACGATGATGAATACATTGACGAGTTCGGAGACAACTGTACAAAATGGTTTGAATGCTATACGACCACACAATTTGAATTCGACTTTCTCGAATTCAACGCAGCAACCATTCATATCATTGCTCTTTACCTTTCCGAACAACAACAAGACCTCGCAGATGGAGATGTTGTTACTGTCGTCATGGAAACTCCTGAACAATTCGGAAAAAAGAAGTCTCTAATTGCCAAATTCGTTCCAGGACATCAGCTTTTCCAACGCACAGAAGTCTTCTGTATTCCTGGAACTAAGTTCTTTGTCAGGAGCGAACTCAAAGAAAGATATAGTGTGTCATTCAATTACACATTATATAATGTTTTCGACCCAGAAGAAGGCTTCTTCCCAGAAGCAATGGAGGAAGAAGAAGAAGAGGAGGAAATATAAGACTCTATCCAAGAAGAGTCCTCCGAATTCACACCAGAAGATTAACAATTTTCCGAATAAAAACTTAATTTATACTAAATTTCTTATGAGCTAGAAGGGGCGCAGCCCTTGGAAGCCCCACACATACTAAGCAAGACCCAGAGCTTGTAAAAAAAAATATAAGTAAAATATTAATTTTTTATTCCAATTCTTTCAATTTGTTATATAATTTGTTTCGTTCAGCAGTATAATATAATAAGTCACTGACCAACTGGTCCACTTCTATATGTGACTCTGCCGATGAGACTCTATAGACTGTTTCGTCAATCTTCGAATTGTAATTTGCAATTTGTTGTCTCAAGTACTCCAGAGTCTCCTCCTTCATCTTCTCAAGCACTTCTAACTGCTCTGGTGTTGGTTGGTGCGTAGAAAAGTGCGCAATGACTTCGTCCCAATTACGGAATGACATTCTAATTTTTGTTGGAATAAACTTTGGAAAAATTTAGGGGCTAGAGGGCGCAACGCGCCTGGAAGCCCCAATACCTTTTTTTTTTTTTTTTTTTTAAATTAATCGAAAAGATATGTCGAAAATATAGATGTGGATCTTTTTCAAATTTCAATCAAATTTCAAATTTTTCATTCTGATCAGAATGAAAAATTTCGGATGAAACACATTTGCTTAATTGGTAGTTATTTCAAATATCAATATCTGCAAAATGTTCTTTTATTTAATTAAATTTCTTTTTTATATATATGCCCAATTAGCACAATAATGTTGCTCTTTTTATGTGAACATTTGAGGTTAAAAGTTGTCATTTATGGGTAATTTTGCTGATAATTGTTTTAACACATTAAACGAAAATTTTCTTAACAGATGTTTTGCTCTTAAATATAGTACTGTTATTCGAACAATAAACGCAGATTTGTTTTATTACTTTCAACCAAACTATATAATGGCAATTGTTATTATAGTTCAGCTAATTTTACCATATTTTTTTAAACACGCAGCAAGAAACAATAGAGCGAAAGCAAAATCCTTATATGAAATAGTTAGATACAGCCTTTTATCAATCTTTCATCGAATTTCTTACACCTTTGCACTTGCACCATGGCTAGCTTATTGGATTGATAATCCAGGTCCATGCTATTGTACAAATTTGCGCGTTCCTTATAGGAATTTCCCATACAGTTATTCATTATCTACAGTAATCACTGGAATGATTATATTCGAATATGCAAAAATCCAGCCCTATGTATTATATCCACTATCGTTAATCGTTATAACCATACCTTCTATCTTATATATCATTTCCGGGTGGGTTTCAATTGCGCAAGCAGTTGCGACAGGACTTATTGGAATCTTTCTACATTATTTCTCGATTCTTACAACTATTTACGTTAGGCTTGCAGAGGATATACTTCTTTTGATTGCAAATATTGCAACATTAATTTTTTCTTTTTCAAGAGAGAAACGTTTATCTCATGACAAAAGCTCACCATTTATAATTCATGGAATTGGCTCAATATTCTACGATTTTTATATGGTAATTCGCTTTTTACAGAAAAATAATTGGGCGTATGGAAACGTTTCTCATGAAAATGTTACCGAATCAAGGGAAAGTACTACGCTAAAATCGTCACTTGTAAATGCAGATGAAGCTGCTTCTTATGTTGAAAGAATGAATTCAGATTCAATTGATGGAATCATTGGTTTTGTCATTATCTTAGTAACTGACTCATTTACTATGATATCAAAAGGTCCTTAAATACAATATTCTTTATTGATTATTATTTTGTTGTTAAATGCTGTCCTTACATTGTGTAGCTATAAAAATATGGTATTATATTTAATGCCTAAGTTTTAGTCTCCAGAAATTGAATTATTTTGAGCAAATAGTTTAAAATATTTTTGAGAAATATTCAAATATATATATATGTTCATTAATGCATAATCGGCCGTAGTCAAATGTCAATATTTTAACGAATAAACTTACATTTTATTCTTTGGTAGTGAGATATAGAAAATAATATAAGTATTAAACAATATATTAATCGTTTTTGTTACAATTAGATGTAATGATTTAGTTAATGGCGGTTCTCCTTTAATGTTTGGTAGGAACTTTGCAAAGTATAATTGAATTTGCAATTACATAAAGTATAATTCTTTGCAGATATTAGCTAATTTGGAATATATTGCGATTATTAATAAGACATTCTCTATAAATCCGAAATTTTGGCAATGAAAATTTTATTTTCTGAAACAGCTATTCTTTAACTATAAAAAGAGGAACTGATGATATTTTATTTAATTTACTAATATACGAAAAATAAAGAATTAAACAATAACGAACAATTAATTTTTAGGTGCATCTTTCTGAAAAATTTCTATCTTAGCACTAGGTGGTAAATTAGCCTTATCCTTTTGTATGTTGATAATACTCTGAATATCCTTGAAGATATCTTCATAATCATGTTGTTCGACAGGTTTGTTTTCGATTGAATCAATATCTCTCTTAAACTCGCTTGTCTCCCTTTTGTAAGCTGCTATAAGATCGTTATTGAAACTCTTATATTGTGATGTTAAAATAATGTGTTTCTGTTGTTGTATAGAAATTTTTCTTTGCTTTTTGACTTGACTATCTAAACCTTGAAGTGATGTTCTATATTCCTGATTGTTGTTGTTTGCTGTTCTGTTTTGAACTTTTTCTGGTAGAATTAAATTACTTTGCTGTGCTTCTGTTTGTAGATTACTTAGTTCTCTAGCTGAAAGATGTTCTAGTAATTGGTTAAGAACACCCTCATTAGTGTTTTTCTGCGTCATGAAATTTGTTTTAGTTGGTGGAAAATTAATACAAAAAAAAAAAAAAAAGGATAAACAATTGCGCATACGCCATATTTGAATATACTAAACAGAACACCTTCTTTTTCCTAAAGAATCGAATCTAGAACTTACAAATTGCTGAAAAAAAAGTCAAAAAGTATCATTTAAACTGGATAAATAGAAAATTGTTGCATGCTAAGTTCGGTCAACGATAGAAATTGAGTGGAAATTAATCGTCGAGGAAGTACGATTATGTAAAGTAAAAAAAATGTTGTGGGATTTTTAATATTATATATTATTTTATAATAAAATTTTTTTGAGTCATTTTAAGAAGCACATATAATTTTTTGAATTTAAAAATTAAAGTAGTGTCAAACGAATTTATCACTTAATTTAATACTCAGATTTCTTAAAATTAATGAAAAAAAGGTTTTCTGAGAACTTTTGAGAATGGTTTTCAAATTCCATTATTGAAAATATATAGGTATTGTATGAAATTCCAACTCTATATTTATTAAAATTCTAAATTTTTAATAAAATAACTTTTCAGAGGAATATGATTTTGAATGGTTGATTAATAAGAATAAAAATGTCTACGATTTTAAGGAGGGAATTGTTCCTTATGAGGTATACATCATAACTATATACCTCATAAGGAACAATTCCCTTTTGATAGCTGGGAAACTTTCTCTGAATAACTTATCATTTGGAGAAAGTTCCCCAGCTATCTATTAGGAACTAAAGGCTATGAGGCACTAATATATAATCAGTGCCTCATAGCCTTTAGTTTCCTATTAAAAACGAGAAAACTTGTTCGAAATGATAAACAATTTCGAACAAGTTTTCTCATTTTAAGGAGGGAATTGTTCCTTATGAGGTATACATCATAACTATATACCTCATAAGGAACAATTCCCTCTTGATATCCTGGATATTTTTGAATATATTTTTTTAATTAAAGTTCTCAAAAGTATTATCAAAAGTGATTTTTAAAAATATCTCCAATTAATTAACTAATTAAAAGTATTATATTTTTAAAATTAAATAGTTTTTCAATTTTTTTGAAGGAATTGAGATACTTCCCACGACAATAAAATTGAGAGGTTTACATTATGACTGATCTTAGCATGCAACAAAATTAGTATTGAACTGGCTTTGTAGTTTCATTATTTGCAAATACTATCAATATGAAATAAAAAAAATATTTCGAATTGAGCATTTTCTTGTAATCATTTAGATCTCATAGATATAGGTCATTTTTGTCTATTATATTTCAAGTATCACATTCTTCGAGCATATTTCTAATTTAAACATCCCTTTCAATGTGCAAAAAATGTAAATCTCGTTACATTTTTTTATAATTCAAATTTACTAAAAATGGCTGATGATGCTTCATATCTTGAGAGACAGAACCGTATCAAGAGATATAGAGAGCATTGTGCCCGTATTGCATCTGGAAAGCATGCTGTAAATGACAGAGCAGAGCCTGCAATACATTTTATGAAAGCAACTGAAAGAAAAAATCAAATTAGAAAACATAAACTCAAAGTCGAGTCCGAGTTAATCAATGATATTCTCCAATTCGAATACAATAGAGAAATGAATAAAAAAAATCATAGAAGCATAAGATCTCCAAGGCGGACAAATGCCAAACCAAGAAAAACAGCAAAAGCTGATTCTGATTTTGATCCAATTTTTTCAGTAGACGATGAAATGGATTATGAAGAAGAACCACTTTGCTATTCTGAAGCGATGACTAAAGCAACTAACACAAATACAGCGTCAAACTTACTTTTCGGAGAGATTTCTAATGAAGAACCTTATGTTTCAAGAGATTTGATCAATCAGATCATTCAAGAAAATGGTATGAAGCCAATTACATCTCAGCCTTTATCTCTAAGACCTCGTACATCCAATCCAGAAGTAATATTTCCAAAAGTAAATAAAGCCAACAGATTACATCGTACAAGAAATGGACAATCATCTGGTTCTACACGTGAAACACCACGCAGGAAAGGAAAGAATGATCCATTGAAGACAATGCGTATCAAAGACGAGAATGAAGTTCTTGATGATCTCAAACGCCAATTTGAAGAAGAAAATGAACGAAAAGAGCAACGAGAACTCGCCAAACAACGTCGTCTTGAGCAAGAGCGTAAATGGCGTGAAGAATATGCAAAGAGAATGCGAGAAAAACAGGATGAACTGAATAATTACAGAATTAATTTTGAAGACAAAAACGAAGAAGAGGAAGAAGCTGTTCATCCTGTTAGAGAACCAGACAGAGTCATTGTTGCTAAACCATTTACAATTCCTGTTCATGAACCAATGCCAAGAAATCACTCATCTCCAAACTTAATTTCTTCTCAAAACGAAGAAGAAGAAAATGACGAAATTGATGATTCAAGGTTTGAAGACAATGACAACGAAAAAGGTGAAGAAGAAGAGAGCAAGAGTCTCAAAGAAATCTTCATTGAAAAGCTTGATACAAACAAAGCAAACGATTCATTTGAAGAACTTGATAAATCTGATTCTGAAGAAGAAAAGGAAACCAATGAAATCGAAGAAGAAAAACCTCTTGAAGAAGAAGAAAATAAAGAGTTTAATGAGCTAAATCATGAAGAAGAAAAAGAAGAAATTCAACAAGAAACAGATCAGAAAGAAGATGGAGAAGAAAACAAAGAGTTTAATGAGCCAAATAATGAAGAAGAAATTGCAGATGAAAATGAAGAAATTCAACAGGAAATTAATCATGCAGAAGAAGAAAAGAAATCATATGATGAAGAGAATAATAAAGAAGTCAATGAAAATGAAAATAAAGAATCGGAAGAAACAAAGAATGAAGAAGAAGAAAAACTTGAAATTATTCCAAATGAAGCAATTCTCAAATTAGGAAATTTGACTGAGAAGAAAGAAGAAGAGCCAAAAGAGATAGAAGAAGAAAGAAAAAGCTCTGACGAGAAAATAAATGAAGAAGAAGAAAAGAAAGAATTAAATGAAAACCCAGAAACTGAAAAAGAACAGAAACTTGAAGTAATTCCCAATGAAGCAATTCTTAAACTTGGAAATTTAGTTGATAAACATGAAGAAGAAAGGAATGAAGAACCAAAGAATGATGAAGAAGAGGAAAAGAAAGAAGAAATAAATAATGAAGAAGAGGAAAAGAAAAAAGAGCCAAATAATGAAGAGGAAGAAAAGCAAAATCTTGAATTAATTCCAAAGAATGCAATGCTAAAATTAGGTAGTTTAGTTGATGCAAATAAGGAAGAAGAAAAGAATCAAGCTGAAGAAGAAGAAAAACCAGATGGTGAAATGCCTCTTTTATCAAGAGCTCTTGGAATTCCAGGAAATTTGATGAATAATCAAAATGAAACAGAACAAACTCATGAAGAAGAATCAAAACCATCTCTTTCTTTATCAAATGAAATTACAAATAAAATCGAAGTTCATGAACCAGAGGAAGAAAAAGATAAAGAAAATCAAATTCCAGAGGAAGAAAAAGAAGAACCAATTTCATTATCATTGGCTCAATCTATTTCAGAGAAAATCGATCTCAAACAAGAAGAAACAAAAGAAATTCCTGCTGAAGAAACCAAGAAAGAAGATGAAAATGTAGTTACACCAAATTCCGAAGAACCAAAAACAGAAACAGAAGAAACTCCTTCTTTATCTCTTACAAAATCAATTGTTGAGAAACTAGAAATAAAACAAGAAGAAAATAATGAAGAATCTCCAAAAGAAGAAGTTTCCCAAAATAATGAAGAATCAAAAACAGTTGAAAATGAATCAGAAACACCTTCTTTATCATTAACAAAATCTATAGCAGATAACATTGAAACAAAACAAGAAGAAGAAAATAAAGAAGAAACACCGGTTTTACCATTAATCCAATCAATATCAGAGAATAAGGAAAATCAAGAAGAAACAGAAGCAGAAGCAGAAACACAAAACTCAGAAGAATCTAACAACGAAAAACTTAATGAAACACCTTCATTATCATTAACTAAATCAATTACAGATAATCTTGAATCTAAATCATCAGAACAAGAAAACGAAGACAAATCACCAGAATTAAAATCCGAAGAAACTCCATCTCTTTCACTCACAGCATCTATTTCATCAAACATCACAAAAGAAGGAGAACAAGAACAATCACAAGAAGATTCAACAAATAAAGCAGAAGAAGAAACAAACGAAACTAAAGAAGAAACACCATCATTATCACTTACACAAACAATTTCAGATTCTATTGAACACAACGAAACATCAACATCACAACAAAATGAAGAGAACAAAGAACCAGAATCAAATGTTTCTAGCACTGAACCACAAGAAAAACCTAATGAAAGTTTATTTGGATCAATAAGTGACAAGTTACTTCCACAAACAGAGATTTCAAATGAAAAGAAACAAGAAGGAGAAAATCCTTTAGAAGAACATAAAGACAATCAAGATACTAATCAAGATAAACCTAATGAAGAATCCGAATCTACTAGTGATAAGCAATCTCCAATAACAGAAGAAAAGAAAGAAGAAACTCCTTCTTTATCACTAACTAAATCAATTGCAGAAAACATCCAAGAAAATAAAGATGAAGAAAAGATAGAAGAAACTCCAAAAGAAAATGAAACTCCTTCTTTGTCATTAACGAAATTTATTGCAGAAAACATTGGAGAAAGAGAAGTTCCTACACAGGAAGAAAAGAAGGATGAAGAAGAAACTCCTTCTTTATCTTTAACTAAATCAATTGAAGAAAACATTGAATCCAAACAAGAAAATAAAGAATTGGAACAAAAAAAAGATGATGTTCCTACTTTATCTTTAACTCCAACAATTGAAGAAAACATTGAATCCAAACAAGAAAATAAAGAATTGGAACAAAAGAAAGATGATGTTCTACCTTTAACTCCAACAATTGCAGAAAACACCCAAGAAAATAAAGACGAAGAAAAGAAAGAAGAAACTGAAATTCCTTCTCTATCTTTAACTAAATCAATTCAAGAAAACATTGAAGAAAACAAAGAAGAAAATGAACCACCAAAAGATGAAAATTCTGAACAAGAGAAAGAAGAAACTCCAAAAGAAAATGAATCTCCGACTTTGTCATTAACGAAATCTATTGCAGAAAATATTGAAGTAAGAGAACTTCCAACACAAGAAGAAAAGAAAGATGAACTTGAAACTCCTTCTTTATCATTGACTAAAACAATTGAAAATAACATTGAAGAAAAAACAGTTGAAGAAAAACCAGTTGAAGAAAAGAAAGAAGAAACACAAAAACAAGAGAAAGAAGGAACTCCTTCATTATCATTGACTAAATCAATTGAACAGAATATCGAAGAAAAACAAGTTGATGAAAAGAATGAAGATAAACATGAAGAAAAGAAAGATGAAGTTGAAACGCCTTCTTTATCATTAGCCAAAACAATTGCAGAGAATATCGAAGAAAAGCCACAAGAACCTGATAAAGAAGAAACTCCTTCTCTATCTTTAACTAAATCAATTGAAAATAACATTGAATCTAAACAAGGAGATAAAGAATTGGAACAAAAGAAAGATGATGTTCTACCTTTAACTCCAACAATTGCAGAAAACATCCAAGAAAATAAAGACGAAGAAAAGAATGAAGAAACTGAAATTCCTTCTTTATCTTTAACTAAATCAATTCAAGAAAACATTGAAGATAAAACAGAAGAAAAAGAGAGAGAAATTTCAACATCAATCAATGATAATTTATTACAAACTAAAGAAGAAAGTAATTCATCATTAGCATCAAATGAATCAGAAACTCCTTCTTTATCATTAACAAAATCTATAGCAGATAACATTGAAACAAAACAAGAAGAAGAAAATAAAGAAATAGCAGCAAATGAATCTGAAGAAAAGAAAGAAGAAACACCGGTTTTACCATTAATCCAATCAATATCAGAGAATAAGGAAAATCAAGAAGAAACAGAAGCAGAAGCAGAAACACAAAACTCAGAAGAATCTAACAACGAAAAACTTAATGAAACACCTTCATTATCATTAACTAAATCAATTACAGATAATCTTGAATCTAAATCATCAGAACAAGAAAACGAAGACAAATCACCAGAATTAAAATCCGAAGAAACTCCATCTCTTTCACTCACAGCATCTATTTCATCAAACATCACAAAAGAAGGAGAACAAGAACAATCACAAGAAGATTCAACAAATAAAGCAGAAGAAGAAACAAACGAAACTAAAGAAGAAACACCATCATTATCACTTACACAAACAATTTCAGATTCTATTGAACACAACGAAACACCATCATCACAACAAAATGAAGAGAACAAAGAACCAGAATCATTACCATTGACAAAGTCTATTGTATCTAATCTTGATTCTGAACAAAAACCAAGTGAAGAACAAAAGGCAGATGAAAAATCTCTTTCCTTATCAAATGCTTTGATTAACCAAGTTCAATCAGAAAATCCAGACCAGAAAGCAGATGAAATGATTCTTGAAACAGAAAAGAATGAAGAAAAGGCTTCTTTATCGTTCGCAAAAGCTATGAATGAAGCAATTTTAGAAGAAGAAAAGAAAGCTGAGGAAGTTCCTCTTCTTTCAATTCAAAATTCACTTTCAAATCAGGAAAATAATCAGGAACCTGCAAAATCTATTGCAGAACCTTCTATGCCTTCGTCTGGAGCAAGAAAGTCAATTAATTCAAGAAAGAAACTTCATTATTTCGAAGATCCTCCATCTGATTTGGAAGAATTAGATAATTAATTTGTATTATTTTGTTTATTTTATATATCGTATAAAATTTTATTATTTTTGAATTTTTTTCTAATAGTTAAACGCCAAGCAAACAGCAATTAAAATATCTTAATACTTAACACACTTTATAGTCATTGTATTCTTCTGCAATTTGCGAATATTTTTGAGCGAAATTGAATGGCGCCGGCTGAGACCTTAAGTTACTTTTCCTATAGATTTTGAAAGATATCCCTTTCATAATTTAAATAAAAAAATCTTGAGTACTCAAACTGCGATCATCCGAAATTACTAAATCTATCTAAATATATACTATATTGATATTATATGGTAATTCATTATTGAAATGACTTTTTTTTTATCCAGAAATGAACTCTCAAAATTTTTGCAAAATGTTAGTCACTTTTACGGTTTTTATTTTGGGCGAGCTTGTGAACCGTAATTAAAAACAGTAAAATGAGCTCACATTTTGAAACAAGTTTAGGGACTTTTTCATTGAAAATGCAAAAGTGACTAAACTTTATTGAAATGTTTATATTTATGGAGGAAAAATACCATCCAATGAAATAAATTTTTCATAGAAAATTTTCAGGGCGTAAATTTTTGATGCAACGGCTTTTTAATTAAAATTAAAAAAAAAAAAAAAAAAGGTAGTGGGGCTTCCAGGCGCGTTGCGCCCTCTAGCCCCGAAGATGAGAGAGGTCCTATAAACCGGAGAAAGTGTCATATAAACATCTGTCATTTTACTCAGAATTTTATACAGAATTCAATAAAAATATATTTTAGGTGAAGAGGTGAGATCTCACCTGTTTTCTCACCTCTTTTCTCACCCCACATGTCCTTACTGAAAAAGTATGTGTTCCATCTGTCAAAAGCCGCTTTTTAACTTCACTTAAAATGCCACGTAAGCTACGTAAGAATATACGTAAGAGGAAGAGAGCATTGAAACATCCAATAGTAAGACTGACACCACAACAACAGTTGCAACAACAAATGCTGAATGACCCCACTATGTTGCAACAAATGTCAAGCAATCCTATGCTTTTAAACCGAGTCATTGGTGCACAGAGTGGAGGTTTAAGAGCGGCACTTTTAGCGAAAATGGCAGGCTATGGTGGAGCTGCAGACGGAACAGCCTATAACCCTCAAAGTCAAATGAATTTGAGTTCACTCAAAAATCAAATAGCAGATGTCAAAAAGTCAAACATAGACATACAGAAGCAAATAAGTGAAAACGAAAAGAAACTAGAATATGACAGACACACAAAGAAACTCAATGAGTTAAACGTAGAGAAAAAGAAGAAAGAAGAACAACTGAAAGAACTAAGTACAGAGGAATATGCGAAAAAAGTGTCAGAAAAAGCAACAGAAGTAGCAAAAATGGAACAAGATGTCATAAATTTGAAAAACCATACTACTCAATATAAAATACTGAAAGATGAAGAGATAAAACAAAAAGCCCTGAAGACATATATGGATAGCGATGAGTATAAAAAAGAAGTTGAAGCAAATGTAAAGGCAGAAAAACTTTTACAGTTGCAAAACCAAACCGTACAGTATGAAAACTTAGCACAAGAAAGTAAAAATAACGACGCAGCCATGCAAAAGGCAATGAAAAGCGCAGAATATATAAAAGCTAACAATGACTGGTTAGATGCCCAAGCCAACGCTAAAGCAGCCCAACTCATAGGGTCAATAAGGACAAAAATACAAGCGGATGAAGACAGTTCAAATGAAACTTTAACAAATGCTGACTTTAAGAACGCCTTCGAAGCTCTTCATAGTAAGGTGAAACAAGTGAACGACTTCTCATCTGGAAAGAAACTGAAGTCTGAAGGTTTCGACAAAGAGTTAAAAGAAGTAGCACAAAATATGACGAAAATAACAGATGCAGCAACGAGACAGGCAGTTCAAAGTGCCTATGACGCCGTTAGAGCAACTGTTGTGAAAAGTCAAGAAAAAAGAGTTACAACAGACCAAAACAGACCTAGTAAATGCTTTCTTAAAAACGAAAAGTCAGGTAGGACATTACGCTGCAGATGGAACATATGTGCCAGCTGGTGGAACTTATATACCACCAAACCCTCCAAGAGAAGCACCTGCACCAGGACTACCTAACACATTTACATCGTCACATGGACATAGACACAGGCATGCACCAAAACCAACACAACAACCAGCACAGCAACCAACAGTTCAAAACCCTGCACAACAACCACCTCCACAAACAGAGCAAGGACATAAAAGAAGTAGAGAACAAGGAAACCAAGAATTCTTAAAAATGCTTAAAGAAGACTATGGTTACCCAGATAGTATTGACTTTAGTGACAGATATAAAGAAGCTATTCGAAAGTTCAAGGATGGAAATACTGACCCGAACCTATTTAGCTTTATGGCTCTGCACCAAAGGGATATAATCTCAAACCTGGAAAATACAAGCTCGCTAAGGGATATGATTTAATAGCATATCATCCAAATGACATGAACGAATTTACTCCGAGATATTTGATGTCAGAGCTAAATGACAATTTAACTCTCTTCATGAAACGCGTAAAAAATAGAGACGGAACGAAAGAAGAAAGGTTTATGAGTCCGGATGACTTAGAAAGGGAACTTGTTAAAAACGGTCTCGGAATATATGAAATGCCACCAGATGAGGTACAAGAAACTCCACAGGAAGAAGTTCAGATACAACCAGACATGGAAGAAATAGTTCAGCAACAACAGCTAGAAGAGCCTGAAGGAAACGAACAAGTCACTCCTTTGGAAACTAACTTCACAGAACTAGATGAAGATTTGGAACAGCCGAAAAATCTTGACCCTCAACAAGTGTATGCGGAGAATATGGAATATTTCCAAGAGTCTAAAAAAATTCGGCTGACATAGTAGAAGAATATCGAAAAATGTTTGCCGACATACAAAAGACTCCAACACCAGATGAAAATATTCAGCATAGAATGGAAGTACTGAAAGAAAATGTAAGCAAATACAACAACCCTTTTTACTTACGACCATTTAACGTTCAATCTTTGGATGAACTCGGTGAAGATAAAAGGTTAAATTTCAAGAAAACATATAGAAATGAAACATTGTTTAAAGTTCATTCAGAACCTAGCCAAGATGGAAACAAACCTACTTTTGTTTCTGCAGACGATGGAACTACAATGAGATGGGGTCATAAAGCTAATCCGGATAGGTGGTTCATAAACTTACAACCACAATTCCAAGAAGTTGTAGACGCAATGGAATTGAATGGTGAACCAGATATAGCTGGTATTTTAAGCGCGGCTTTAATGCCATTGAAAGATATGAAAGATGCAGATATTTTGAACCAGTATGAAATGAACATGGCTGATGGAAATATAACACCTGACGTTCTAAAACATTTATCTCAAAGAACTACACAGAACCATAGAGATGGTATATTTGGTGAAGAGTTTAGAAAGACAGTTAGGGAGAGAGAAGGAAGAGAACCTATTGTACATGACCTTGCAAATGAAAGTTTGCAAAATGTCATAAAAACTTACTTTGCAGACGATGAACTGAGAAGGGATGAATATTTAAGAAAACTCAAATGGACAGTACCAAATGAAATGTTAGTATTGAAAAACATGTTCCTTGACAAAATAAAACCAACTACAGAAATAAACGACGCAAGACTGAAAGATTGGGTAAAAGCTTTCCCATTCACAAAAGATATAGTTGGTAACATGGAAAGAAAACCAGAATGGCTACAAAAACATATATTTGGAAACGAGCTTATTCCATATGGACAGGCTCTGTTTGAAGAGCTTGAACCGGAAACTCAGGAAAGAGTCATGCAAACAATACGCGAAGACTCAAATACAGACTATGACAAACTCTTTCTAGGATATAGGTTACCTGAGATGGGCGACCAGAGCCCAAAGGCAAAAAGGGCATGGAAAATTTGCAACATACTAGATGAACATAATGCAAAGATGCAACAACTTCAAGCAGAGGGCAAGTTACCAAAGCGACACCAAAGAAGAAGAGTAGAACAAAGTGAAAGTAGTGAAGAAGTAACTTCATCTAGTGAAAGTAGTGGCAATGAAGGAAAAAGAAGAGTTAAAAACTCAGTCAGGAAGAAAGTAAAGCTTGGTCCACGTGGGTTCTATTATGATATATAAATCCAACTATTCTATATTTTTACCCATATGAAATGTACGCCGCTCAGAATATAACGCCAACAGTTTTGGATGCTATGAATGGAAATGTTTCCGAATGGTATAACGAATGCGACAATGCCATTAGAAGGTCAGAAATAGTTCCTGGAACTTACGAATATACAACTGCTGTTTCTTATGGAAACGTAGGTGAGTTTGGAGAAGGTTCTTCAACAACAGTAGATATTGCTTGCGACAGGTTTCATATAATTTCTATTGACAACTCTTTCTTATACGTGGAACAAGACATTGAAATAAAACCTTCTGCCAAGTTGTCTGACAAGAAAGGTTGCAATGGAATTTTCTATGTCGGATACCAATATGCTCCAGAAGTTTTCATGGGATATAAGATATATTCTAACTCTGACTTAGTTCAAACAGTAACATGGGCAAACTATGAATGGTTCGCTTTGAGAAACTCAGTACAACCACAAGCTAGAGAACAAACAGACCAGTATGCAACTATTGAGAAAATAAGAAGACTTGACCCTAACGTTCCAGGAGTTTATGTTAACCTTTCTGGACAAACTGCAGCAGCAGTAACCAAAGTAAAATTGAAACTTAGAGTTCCTTTGTCATCTTTCCTCATCTTCAGGTTTTTAAGATACTTGCCAAACTGGGCAGGAAAAATTTCTATTGAACTTACTCCAAGCAAAAATAACTTAGTCATTGCACCAACAACACAAGACCCATTCACTCTTACAGAAGTAGTGGGAACAAATAAAATGTCATTCGCCGACTTTTGCAAAAACAAAGTTGACTTAGACTTTGGTTTCTCAAACCTCAACACTGAAGTAAACTATTATTTCAATGCTGCTGGAGATGCTTGGGACCCAGTTAAGTTCACATGCGAAAAATTTGAATGCAAGAGAATAGAAAGCAGACTTGCAGTCTATATGTTGGACCCAGATATTTCAAATGCTTTAGCTGCCAAATATATTGCAGTTCCGCTTATGTTCCCTATACACCAAATATCTGTCAAAGACTTTGCAGGTGAAGTTGGAAACCAAAGTGCTGACCCAGGTGCAAGAACAGATATTGCCTTAACAACTGCAATGAAACATGCAGATACTATGTTTGTACTGTTCAGACGAACTATAAATGACTATTCTTGCTTCTACAACCCTGGTATTAAATACCATATAAACATAGATGGCAAATACTATCCAAGAGAAGAATATTCTACAGTTGAGGATATGAGGTCATACAACTTGACATTAGATGCTATGAACTTTAACAACAACTTCACAACAACCATTAACCCTGAAATGCAAAGTTCTATTATGCCATATGTGAAAGTATGGACTCATACAGGAGCTCAAAACACTCAATATACAAATGGAGACCGTTCAAACTTTTGGCTTGGCATTCCATTTGCTGACTCAGAAGACTTTATGGGTGGTATTTCAACTGTTGGTACTGTACAAATACAATATACTGGTGACAGAGACGGTCCAGATGAACTGAGAGCAAAGAAGTTTACAAAACCAATAGCACTTTTCACGGAAGATGCTCTTTTGAAGATTCGTTCGATGAAACCTGCTGGGGCTCCTCAGATTGGTATAACGACAGCTTCCATCGAGCAGATTTTGGCAGCAGGTCAGTAAGTTGTTCTTGAACTGACTTCTCTCCGTCAAATATTGACAGTACGCCAGTCTTAACATAGTATTGTATTAAAAACTTTCCTTTAGAAATATCTGTAAGTTTTGTTGTTATATTTTTGTCTGCTTCAAGAACTTTCACCATCTCGGTTATACCAACTTTCTTTGCTTTATGAAAATATTTTGGTTCAGCAAAGACTGCTATTCTATAACATTTTCCATTGTTTGTATAAAGAACTATTCTGTCAATGAACTTGTATTGTTTGTGTGTGTAAACTTTGTTTTGCTTCAATTCGAAGAGATACTCAAATACGTCCATCTTTTTATTCTAAGTAAAATGTCATTTCCGAAAAATAGAAGCGTAAGTGTTTCAAAAGGTTTAATGGCGGTGGCAGACGTGAAGTTAAATTCACCAACTCAAACAAACAGTCAAAGTGTTGTTGTCAATGTCAAAGAAAGAGATGTTGAAGTGGGGAAACCATACGAAGACGAAGATGGTATAACAATAGTTCCTGTAAAAGAACAACCAACATATCCTGAAGTTAGCAGAGACTTAAGTTCTGTTGCAGATATTCGAAATGACTACATGCAACTGAAAGATAAGCTTAAAACTCAGGAGAAGATTTGTCAGGCTTTGGGTATAATGTTAAACTTGGTTGAGCACAACCCTGTAAAAGTGAACTCATATGTCATCGCACCTCATGAAATTTTGAAAGAACTATTGAAACTTTTGACAGAGGCAGACGATATAAACATCAAAGAAATAGAACCTGACATTGCTTGCTGTGGTGTTTCATATAATGTCATTGACAAGATATACGTTATGAAAGGAGGTGAAACCTTGAACTTAAAATATAGTTTCCCAGACGTCATAAAAATATTTGACGACCACAACATTTCATTAAAATTTACTTGCTAAGTAAAAATGGCAGAAGACATAGTGGTTTATACTATTACGACTAAAAACCCTGAGTCATATAATTCTATAACAACAAACTTACAAAGTCCTCAAGGACGATATTGTAAACTGACCTTAAACACGATGACGACTAAAGCCTTTTTGCTCTTTGACACCAGAAGACTTTGTTGTTGTGAATGGTAAAAAATACTCCTTTGAAGATACTTACTCAGATATACCACCAACAGGTTTTGTTGACTTATTTAATACTTTAAGGACGGATGTAACATGTGCTGCAACTAGAGCAGGTTTCATTATGTTTGGATGTCCGACTGAGTTTAGTATAAACGATATGAGCTATAATACAAAACTTATATCTGGTTTTTACTACCAACAGTTTCCTATAACAGGAAAAGGTGTCATACAAGGAATGTCTGTTCCATTGACTTTAAGTACACCTATTTTATATATTGTTTCAAACTTAGGTTCAAAGTGCTATTCGAATGTCGACAGAAACTACTATGACCAAAAGATACTCATGCGTATAAACAACACTTTCTCTGCTGGTTTGCCTATTGTTCATTCGAATGCAGAGTTTTCAGCTTTAGTAAACTCAAACACTTTAGCAAACATAAACTTAACCTTAGTTGACGCAAACTTTGTTCCTGTAAAACTTTTATGTCCTATGTATTTGTCAATGACGGCAGAAAGTTTCGAATTGGAAGATGCAACTGGTGAAAGTATTGTACTACAAGAACAACTTCAACAACAAATAGCTCAAGAACAACAAATGCAACAAATAGCTCAAGAATAAAAAAAATATTTTTTTTTATTTTTATAAAAAAATGTACAGAATAGACGTTTCAGATTTTTATGACTTCCAAGCCTTCAGAAATATGTGTCCATTTCGAGACTATAACAAAGCAGTCGAGAATTTGAAACGTTTAGTCATTTATGTCGACTCTGCCCCAGAATGTTATGTCATGAAAGAATGGGATGTAGTCTTTAACAAACCTAAAGCGACAATAGTTTCAGAACAAGAATGTAAACAGAAACTTAAGAAAATAAAAGTCGTACAAGTTGGTATGAAGATGTTAGATGCTTGGGATATCTTATTGTCAAAGTTAGAAGATTTTTCAGTTTCGTGGTATAAAGTTCTATACACCATCTCCAAACTTCTATTCTATCTTCACTGGATATAAATACGAACAAGTAGAATGGAAAGAAAATGTTATAGAAGCTTGGTTAGACCATGTCAAAGAAATTATATGCAATGGAAACGAAAGAGTCTATGAGTATATCTTATGTTGGTTTGCAAACATCTTACAACATCCAAGTGCTAAAAATGAAACTGCTCTCATTGTAATTGGAAAACAAGGAACAGGTAAGAACACTTTCTTTACAGATATCTTATGCAAACTGTTAGAGGGCTATTCGAACCCGAATATGACAAACTTAGAAAACATCTGCGGTAAATTTAACTCTTCAATAGAGAATATGAAACTTATAGTATGTAACGAACTTCAAAAGTATAGATACAACAAAGGTTTTAAACTCAGATGCTTTGAAGAGTCTTATAACAGACAAAGTTGGAGTTGTTGAAAGAAAATATAAAGACCAAAGAGTTTGTGAAAATGTTGCAAATTTCATCATGGTTTCAAACAACGCCGTTCCGATGAAGTTAGAAAGTTCTGACAGAAGATATGTAGTTGTCAGAACGTCAGAAGCTCATATGCAAGATACAGAATATTTTGACGACTTAGCAGAAACTTTGACACCTAACTTTTACAACCACTTGTTCTCATATTTCATGACATTAGATATTTCAAAGTTCAATCCAAGACAAATTCCACATACCGAAGAGAGACAAACATTGTTAGAAGCAAACAAGAGTGTATATGAACTGTTTATAGATGAGACTAACTTTGAGTGTTTAGATGAAAGGTCATTGTACGATTCGTATAAACAGTATTGTCAAGAATATGGTTATATGACAGCGTCTAAACGAACATTCTTGGCAAATGTCAAAAGTCTTTTAGATGTTCAGAATGGTGTATATACAAAGAAAAATTTTTCTGAGTAAATTTTAAAAAAAAATATTTTTTTATCCGATAGAAAAGATGACGAAATTCATCTCAGTAAACAAGTATATGACAGAAGTCAAAGAAGAACTAGACCCATTCACATATTTGAATGTTTACTTCTACCATTTTGAAAAGTCTACATTTGACAAAGTTTGGAACATCGAACCAGTTAAGTTTGCTATTGTGACTAAAAATGGTGCGAAATTTGAAGACTTAGACATAGAAGGTTTGTTAACAGTCAAAGAAAGTTTTGACAGAAGGTTTTCAAACCTTAAAGAAGGCAAAGCATACAAACTTGTTATACCTTATGAACCAAAGAAAGCAGACGACTATGAATATTATGAGTCTAAGATAGTAGTTGAAGTTCAAGGTAAATTGGGTAAAAAGATTTTAGAGTCTAAGCCGGTGTTTGCTCCTAAAGAGGAAGAGAACATTGACATTGACCCAGAAATGTTCTAAAATAAAATTTTATTTTTACATGTCATATCTCCCCTTCTCTGGCTCTGGTTCTTTCTTCTCTTCTTCTACTTTCTTTTCTTTCTTTTCTCTCTTCTTCTTCTCTGGTGGAGTTATGTCAAACTTCTCAGAACCATATTTTTGTAAAAGTGCTTTGTCATTTAATAGCTCTTCTATTCTGTCTTCTATTTCATTTTCAAGAACAGCGCATGTGTCTTCTTTGCATTCTAAGAAGTTTTGTTGGACTTCATCTCTCCAAGAGGCGTCATCTCTGTCAACAAGTCTGTCATTGACAAATTTTAAGACTTCTCTGCTTAAGGTTTTATGGTTCTTGTCATATTCCCAGAAACAGAACTTTAGAACAAATTCACCTTTCTTGTTTACACTATGTAAGATTTTATGGTCGACAGATGTTTTGCTGTCGAAAAGCTTGTCTCGAATATAGATAGCGAAATCGCTAGACATTTCCTAAAAGATAAAAATTTTAATTTTTCTAAAAATATGTTAGAAAAAAGTTTGCTGACATTGACAAGAAATTTGAGAATGTTTTAAATAAGAACAAGAGGAAGTTGGAAAATGCTCAGATAAAACCCATACATGACAAGTTCTTATTTGCTCAGAATGGTATAACAGGTCTAATTGCACCGCCTGGGTCGGGTAAGACTTTCACTTATCTTAAAATGGCTGCACAACAACAAGAACTAGATGAGAAGAACCCATTCTATGAGTTAGTTGTCATTTGTAGTACTTCGGGTCAATTTGACCAAACCGTCAATTCGTTCAAAGATTTATAAAAAAGTCTAAGTTAGTATGTATAAAAGACTCTGAGTTGTTAGATTGGATAAAGAAGTACCAAGAAGAGTTTTGAAGTACAATGCTATAAATGAGTATGTCAATTCTAAGTTTAAAGACCCAAATGAGGAAATGCAGAGAATATTAGAGAAGAAACACTTCAGAAACAAACAGAAAGAGATAGAATACATTTCGAAGAAATTGCAATCTTACGATTGGAAGACTTACCTCACAGATGTCTTCTTATCTTAGATGACTTTGCTTCTCATCCTTTGTTAAAGAACAGAGAACAAGACATGTGTCGAATTCTTAAGAAGCTCAGACACTTTAACATTTCAGTTGTCATTTGTGTACAGACAGCAAAGAGTTTAAGTAAGGATGTAAAGAGAATACTTACTGATATCATACTTTTCCCCGGATTGTCCGAAGACGATTTCATGGAACTTATGAAAGAGTCCATGGCAGGTAAGTTTGACAGACATGAACTATGGAGAAGTACAAAGTCATACAAGACCCTCATACTTCTTTCAGAATTCACATCTACGCAAACAAAGTTCAAATTGTAAAAAGTCAAGCGTAAAAATGTAAGTGTTTGAGTCTTAGTCTGTTGTGGTGCTGGGGCTGTCGGTTCTTCTGGCTTTGGAATGGACTCGGTTGGTGGTACGTCAGCCATCCGTTTGTGTCCTGTCGGAAGGAAGAGTTCTTCCAGTTGGAAGGAAGGACTTTTCCTGTCGGAAAGAAAAACTTTTCCTGAAGGAAAGAAAAATTTTTCCTGAAGGAAAGAAAAATTTTTCCTGAAGGAAAGAAAAATTTTTCCTGAAGGTCGGCCAAAAAGTTCTCAATTTTCGAAAATTTGAATGGTTTACGGACGGACAACAAGAAAAATTTTTCCTGTCGGAAAGAAAAATTTTTCCTGTCGGAAAGAAAAACTTTTCCTGTCGGAAAGAAAAACTTTTCCTGTCGGAAGGAAGAGTTCTTCCTGTCGGAAAGAAAAACTTTTCCTGTCGGAAAGAAAAACTTTTCCTGTCGGAAGGAAGGACTCGGAATGCCAGAAGGACTCGGACAAGACAATTTACCATCTAGAGCTACATGAGCCATCTTTGGTGTCAAGCTTGAAAAATAAATGGTTCATTTACTCTTCCTCTTTGAAGTTGTCAAAATACTCTGTTATTTTTTCCTTCAGTAGCGGCAAATCTTCTTTGAATGTAAGTATTGTACAACCTTTCATATCATAGTGTTTTGAGTAACGTATCTTGAACTATCTGTTTAACATCTTCATTTGGTGTCATTGAAATCGGTAAGTTTTCGCGATAGAACCAATTTCTGTCAGATTTGTAAATCTTAGCTAAGTCGTAAAAGCTTTTGTTGTTTCTTCTGACTAAATGCAACATAACCATATCTCTGTCTTCTTCATTTTCCATCTCTTCAGTGTAAATCATATACTTATAGTTCTTTTCCTTTCCTTTTGGTACCGAACGTGGTATTCTTTTCTGTATGTTTTTGTCTTTTGCTTCAAGCTTGTTCTGCTCTTCACGTTCTTGTCTATGAATTTCATCTAACATCATGAAAATATAACAAGCATAGCGAGGTGAAGCCCACATTGCAACAGCATTTACAAGAAGTCTATGTACATACCAACCTCTCAAACCATTTGGCAAATTTTGACGATTTTCGTACGGAATCTCGACCCGCGGTTTTCCGCGGGTCGCAAACATATGAGGAAATTCTTCTAAAAGTTCTTTGTCTGTTGGTTTTCAAACCAATGATGTGCTTGCTTTGTAGAACGAAGAGCATTGAAAATACTTTGCATTTGGTACATGTCATCTTTGACCGAACGAATGAGACGTAACTGTTTTTATACTGAACCCACTCGTATTCTTCACTTATGGCTTCATGAACGATAGCAGTGTGTTTGTTCTCTGTTGTTGTCATTTCTGTCTTTACATACAAAATAAAAAAAAATATTTTATAAAAACTAACGCTATTTTCTATCTTGTATAAAAGACCAAAAATAAACGCTTTACATGTATTTTTCAGCAACTTCGTCAAATACTTTTATAGCTTTGTCGATCTCATCTACTTCAAACGTTTCTTTACCTCTCGTGGGAGCACCATACATTTTCTCAAACTTTTCAAGTAGTTCTGTTTCAGCAGCTCTCATATCGTTAACAAACGCAACCTTAACTCTATTGACTATACTGTCATATCTTTGAGTTATATTAAATGTTCTTCCTATCTTATATCTCTTTGTATTGAAGTCCTTCGGTTTCTGAACGATGTAAAGTAAGCCTTCACTGCAACGTTCCGTATCGAATGAACCATATGTTATGAAATTATATCCAACAACTGGGTCAATCCATAACAAAACTACTGGTATAAGACTTTTGTCTATAAGATATGCTCTTGTTCCATAGAATCTTACCGATATCATAAGCTCAGGATTTTTTGTCAAAATTTTCTGAGTAGAAGCATTTTTAACCCAGTCGTGTGCTTTCTTTCCTTCAGATAGTGTTAAAATGTCTGACAAAGAATATTTTTTGTATTTCTTTGAGTATCTTACGTTTAAATCACCTATTCTAACCACTTTGGTCTCATTGTCTATCTTTTTAACTGTTTCAAACTCAGTGCTTGTCATTTCCTGTTCTTACATACAAAATAAAAAAAAATATTTTAAAAAAACTAGCGTTAATTTTATTTTTTCTATCTTGTATAAAAGATATGATTTCATAGAGTTTTTTTCACGATTTTCATGTGTTTTAGGCGACTGGGGTTTTTCTCCCACTCGCATTTTTTCACGATTTTCATGAGTTTTAGGCGACCCCGGGAAAAGTCGGGGTCGCAATTTTTTTACGATTTTCATGAGTTTTAGGCGACCAGGGTTTTTCCCCTACTCGCAATTTTTCACGATTTTCATGAGTTTTTTTTACGATTTTCGTACGGAATCTCTATCCTCGATTTTCCTAGGGTAGCAAACATATGAGGAAATTCATGAAATTTGGTCATTTTTTCATGATTTCAGGGATTTTTTTTACGAAGAGTAAAAGTTCACTTCGTCAAAAAAATACAGTTATATCATGAAATTTGGTCATTTTTTCATGATTTCATAGAGTTTTATGCAAGGCCGAAAAAAGTCGGGGTAGCAAACATATGAGGAAATTCATGAAATTTGGTCATTTACTCAGCAAAAATATATTTTAGGTGAAGTGGTGAGATCTCACCTCTTTTCTCACCTCCTTTCTCACCTCTTTTTCACAAGCGTCTTACATGAATTGTACGATGTATATTTGAAATCCTAAACAGTTTTGTAGCTTCTATTTCTTCTGTCAGTATGTCAAAAGTTTTCACAATGCCGAATGTTTCTTTATATTTCTTCTTGACATCAGATAGAAGGAAATCGTCAGCTGTTGGATAGTTTTTGTTCAGAAATGTCAACATGTCCATTTTATCTTCTGCTGGTTTCTCTGCTTCTTTCTTTAAATCTGCATAGTCGTTTCGCATACGTTCTATCTCTTTGACGGAGTAGTTATATTTCCTCATTGCTGCTTTACATTTTGAACATTGTGGGTTCATTTTAGCATTGTACATTGAAATAAAACCTGCAAGTATGACTAAGGCGTCAATGGTTTTCTTTAACTCAAAAGTTGCTGGTTTTATCTGTTCGTTCCATACTTTACCTCTTTTATCTTTATCTCTTATCTGCCATACACATTTTGCAACTAACGAAACAAAGTTGTCGTAGGTCTTAAATTCTTCAGATTTGTATATGTCAGAGATGTTCTTATATAACATATCGCAATCTTTGTCCATAACTTTGTGGTTGCAATGAAAATCCAAGAAACTCATAGTTTACCTTACGTATGAACTTCTTGGTTTCTACTGAGTCAGTTGCTTTGACTTCTATTTCATCGAATTCTGGAATAGTAAGCTTTTGTTGTTGTATTTCAGGAAGTTTAGGTAGATGGTCAATAATATCCTGCATTTCATAAAGATATTCTTCATTTGTTTCATCTTTTGCACTACAGTCTAAAACTCCTTGGAGAAGTTCTTGCTTTATCTTCTGGATTTCTGTTTCGAAAGTATATGAAGAAGGAATGAAGCTTTTCATCTCTACTAACATTGAAGTTGGGTTCATGACTAACGAGTTTGGTGAAGTTGTTGCTAACATGTTCTTACAATAAAAATAAAAAAATATTTTTTTAAAAAACTAAAAT